ATTATACATACACTCACTCACATTTACGTACGGAAAACGCTTTAATCTGTCATATTATTCGTTATTATAATATGTCGTATTATTATTATATTAAGAATCTACACGCTGAAGAAACACTCTTTTCCATTTTGAAATTCATAATCTCATATGTAATAATTTATTTATCTTAGGAAGGTGGCTAAGGGATGAATGCGTCCTAAAATAGCCTACTATTATGGAGGGCCCACCACAAAAAGCAGTTTTCTTTTAATTAAAAAAAGTTTGCTTATTGCCACTGGGGACATTGGGTCACTTATTCTTGCCCCATAAGGAAGCCAATGGGCCCCATTTTTAGGTAAATCTTCTTCTAATTAAATAACAAATACTTATCATTCTATTTTCACTCACAATTTAATAACTCTTTATAGGTGTATTAAATCTTTTAACCATGATTGAAGGGGTATACTGTAAGAGATAATAAGTGGGCCTACAACGTATGAAATCACTTTATAATGCAATGTAATCATTTTCGAATTAAATAATGCCAGAGAGGAGATAGGATTATCAAAAAACTAGCTGAAGCCGGCAGACGTTGTCTTGCCTTTGGCTATTTATATAATTTAAGTATCGAGTAATGAAAACCCAAACTAATTCCAGGAATATTACAAAAATGTGTACGTTATCTTATATATTGAAACGTAACAGGGTTTTTTTATTTTACGATTCTGAATCAACCAATTGACGGATTTTCATCGTTTTTGCGTTGAAAGAAAGATTTGAAAGAAGCCAATTTTGGGAACTAGGGAATGTCGAAGCCACAATTTTAGTTTAGGGTTTCAGTTTTTTTTAATTAAGCTTAAAATTTTAAAAAGTCCAGCAGCCGACGCTAACATTCTACTCTAGGTTTTGGTATAATACAATTTGCTTAACGTAACAGCTGTAAACAATCAGCGTTTTCGACACAAATTCAGCATTTGGATGAAAATGAAATGACATACGTAGGGTTGACTTTCTATACTATGTGTAATGCTTTAATAATTGATACGTTTATTTATTCGGTTAGAGGACGAGAGATAATTTAAATATACAAAGTAAAATTAAAATAATAGATGTTCTAATTTATTTTTTCAACAGTCTATAAAATCTTTAGTTTGTTTTAGTGCAATATAATTTGTTATAACTAACAGCTGGTTGAATAATATTCTAAGAACTATGAGGTTAGTTTATTTACTCTGTGATTTTGTCATTGATTATAGAAATTAAGTAAGATTCTATAACCATTGCTTTATACGAATCGAAGCTCACGAGACTTCAAAAGAAAGCTTATGAAAATTGTTTTACCACCCGAATTTTTGAGGACAGGTTGGGAAAGTAACAACGACCAGAAGTTTTAATTAATCTTGGTAGCTTTTTCTTTACAATAAACTTTGAACTGCTTTAAACTAAGCTTGAATTAGGAATAGACATATTGATACAACTATATACAATTTTAATGGACTGCTCGATTCCCGTACGTAGGACGGGCCAACAGCTCGTTTTAAAATAAAACTATTTATTCCCGAAACATACCATTAATTTACATAGCATGTTTTGAATTATACTTCATCCATATATTTTGTTAGAAAAACAAATCTATTTAAAAATCATAAAATTTAAAATTCCTGCCGGACCGATTTTGTTTCTTAATCGTTGGAAAGCCTGATTCGTGTAGATTTTCAAATAGTTATGAAAGTGTGATTTTATTACTTTTTGAGGAGAAAAAATCAAAATAAAAAATAATACATTTAAAACACCTTTTTTCCAAGTTTATATTTGTAGCCAACTTTAGACTGTCTTTATTGAGTATTTTCCGGAAATACATGATAGTAATTTGTAGGAAATTTTATTCTCTATCAAGAATATGACCGTCTACTTTGGTCGATTTCCTCACCATTTAAAAGTTACTCTATTTTCAAAAACGTTAAGCAACCTCCCAATTTATAGTAGTGAGAAAATACTGAATGAAAGATGTTGTTGTTAAACTTTGTACAATTAAATCTACAGTTCTACTAAACCGATTTTATTAATTAATAGGTCATTGGTAAGCCTAATTTGTGTAGATTTGCAAATAATTATGAAAGTTTGATTTTTTAAAGATTGACTAGATGAAACCCGTCAAAGTCGACAGTTACTGTTGAGGTTGCAAGCAAGATCGTTTGACTATAAATCGATGATAAATAACTCTATTTTTTGAACAATTTGTGTTGTTCGTGATTTAGCTGTGTCCTTTAGGTACGTCCGATCTTAATAATCAATAAATCAAAAGGAAGCTGGTATTTCACTGAAGGTTCTTAGGTCAAAACAAATAGAATAACGTAATTTGAATTGAGTAAAAATATCACAAACTAAATTCCACATCCAAGATATAATCAAATTTATGTTTTCTGATTGAGCGATACAGTATCTTGAAGTTAACTGATTACAGTGCTTTAGGTACGATTATTAAGAGCGGAATCTTAATAATAAATAGCTCAAATGAAAGCTGGTATTTCACTAAAGGTTTTTAGACCAAAACATATAGGGTAATTTAGTTAGAGCTGCTGAAATACATCTTTAATTGAAGTAAAAAAAATTAAATTTTTTCGTTGGGTAATACATTAGAAAAATTAATGATTATGTTTGATCACAAATATTTGCTTGCATAACTTTATTTTAAGACCAAAATTAAGAAAATGGGATGGGCAGAAGAGCCAAACGAATTTAAAAAAACTAATTTAACTCCCATAAGAAAAGTACAGGGACACATTTTGTGCATAACTCGAAATATACGTAAATAAAAATGAATGCCGATTCTTGATTGCAAATCTGTAGTGCGTCCATACCTTTAGTTTGAGGCCAAAATTATTATGAAAATCGGTCGAGTAGAAGAGCTAACCCGACTCGGAAAAGAAAACCCAAATATTATTATAGATGGCCATAGGTGGTTTATCAGTATGCATAATCTAATCATACGAAACCTTTTGTGTTAATAATTAAACGGCTTATTGTTATTTGATTGATTTGTCTTCAATTAAATGTTGTCGTTAACAATTTGCATTTGTGTTTAAAGTGAATTATCATTCTAATGTTATGTGCTTAATCTGTACCATTAATATTAGTGAGTAAAGTGGTGTATGGATTTCAAAACCATTAATAATCGTGGAATAGATATAATTGAATAATTATTTTTCGTAGCCAAGCAAGTGTACGGTAATTTGTACAATTACTACTTTACAGAAAACGGTCTCATTAGTCAGCCCGCAATACAGCAGTGTTTTGATAAAGTACCCTACATTTTGCAGGCGTAGTTACGAGTGAAGTAGTCTCCAGTTGTCCGCCGCACCGTTTGGTTAGGTCGGCCAAACCAAACTGAGGCAAGTGAGAGGCAAGTGGGAGGGATTGTTGGTCTCATGCTCCGCCGCCCGCAGACCTTGCGGAAACTAGCGCGGGGGAGATTGACCGCGGTGGACCTAGGTATGACTCCGTGCCTAGCGTCCTAGGACAAACAAAAAATCGGGTTTTAAAGAAGTTTGTGCTGCACTTTACTTTACATCCTACACTCATTCGAATGAAACAACCGAATGAAAATATCAATTTATCGTTTGTTTCATTCGATATATTGTTTGGTTAGTTAGATTCGGTTAAAACCTAACTAACCAAATGATATATCGAATAATCGATATATTGATCGATATTTTCATTCGCACGAAAGTAGGACGTAAAGTAAAGTACAGCCGAAGTTTGTTATTTAATACAATTCAATACAATACAATGTTCTCTAATAGTTTGGGTGTGTCCATCGATCCAAAGGAGAAAGGAGTGTATTTAATCTATGGTCCAACATTTAAAGTATATGACCCAACGAAATTTTGTTGGTAGTCCTGTACAGGAAAGTCAGAAATATTTCATCAAATAAAAAAAAAGTTGCTGTCTGTAACTGATCATCAGATCCTTCAACTGAACTGAACTGAACTGGTTAACCAAAAAAGTGCAGTGCAGACCAGTGTTGCCAAAAAGCGGGTAATTACCCGAAAAGCGGGTAATTTAGTTACCTGGGGGTAATGCTGCGGGTAATGGCAAATAGGCGGGTAAAAAGCGGGTAAATGACAACTGATCAAATATATTTGTTTTTCGTATGATTACTTATAATTCACTAGAAGAAAAATATTTCCCTGTGTTTTTTTCCATTAAAGTTATTTCACAGACTTTTTATTGTTTTACACTACTTCTTTTAATCTTCATCAGTTTGGTTCAGTTCTCACTCAGTCACTAGTAGTGTAGATATAAAGTCAATGCGAGTAGGCTACAGCGTTCAGTCGGTTCGGTTCGGTTCAGTTTCAGTCAGTACGGTTGTTTGTAGTCTTTTCTTTTGGATTGGAGTGGAAAAACTTTTGGTTGCCTGGCCTTAAATGCCTGATCCGTGATCCTGAATCCTGATCTCACTCTCCGACTCTCACTTCACTTCTCACTATACTACAGTCAACGCTGATACCATGGTGGAAGGAAAATACCGTACTAGTCTACTTCTAAAGAAGATGAATAACATAAAACAGGGGAATAATAATGTTGATCGGTTATAACATAGACTAACCAACAATAACTATTTTCTCCCTAAAACGAATAAAAAATAAAATTTTTAACAGTACTTACTCATTATTAAACAAGTATATGACATAGGCTATCATAAAAAAAACCAAATCATTGTAGGACTAATGAAATTATTTTTGTAAGGTCAGTAAGATTGAAAATTTCATTATGAAGGTTAATTACAAGTCTCAAGTCCTATATTTAGTTCTTTACTACATCTTAATTTGTGGGATTACTCAAAACTAATTTATCAGGGTTTTTATTCGTTACTTTTAGAGACAGGCAAGAGTGTTAAAAGGGAATTTTTGGTTTGTTGAGGGTAATTTTTAGAAAAAGCGGGTAATTCTTTGCTTTGGAGGGGGTAATCGGGCCATTGTGGATTGGCAACACTGGTGCAGACTGTCTGCTCCTGCTGTCTACTGACTTGTGACTCGACTAGATCAAAGTGACCAAGAATCTGACAGATTACGGTTTTGGTTCTGAATTTAACAACACAAATTCGACACTCCACCACCCAAACCCGAGTTGATTTTGATATGTAGCTCAGGAATAATTCATACTTATATCGTAATAGTTGTGTAATTTTTGTGTTTTAAATGCATCCAGTTGAAATATAATTTGTTACGTGATGTGTAGGTTACCTTGGATAGCACCTTATCTTTTAGCCACTACGCCTTTGTAAGTAAAAGGACTTTTCTTTTTATTAATAATTGTAGAACAAATTTAGCATTACAGACTTTGTTTTGATTCCTGTTATGTAAACTAAGTTTTAGCTCAGAGAATGATTTTAATTGTTTAAATTGGCATAGTAAGGTGATCATTATGAGCCAAGATTGGGCAATTTACATGATTGTTAACTTACAAGGTAGGGGCTAGCCTACAACGTAAAGTAGTATTGTGAAATTTCATGATTATTTCTAAACTATGAATTGGGAAGCAATAACTTTGATATCCTCCCTTCCTAATTAACTACCAAAGGGTGTTTGATAGGCTCTAGGCAGGCCTAGCCTAGACCTTCTTATACTGATATTTTTAGGCTAAAATTACCTAATCACACCTGGCTTTACCCTGGGGCTTATCCAGGGTTAGTGTATGTGAAGGTTAGGACACATCTTTTTGCTTTCGATGTTCTAAAATGACCCTGACCTAGGTTTTGCCGTGAAGACTGTAGCGTACCTTTTTACCTCCTCCTTTGCTTGAGACCAGTTTGTAGTGGGTAAGATGCATCAAAAGAAAAAGTATAACTTATACAATGTAGGCCTAGGCAACATATTTACTTACATTTACAACATTTCTGTGGAAGGATTATAGGTTTCCCACAAATGGCGCAGGCAATGGTCTTGAGACATAAAAATCATCCTCTAAAATCTACCTCAACTTTTAGCAGGGCTATTATCTCATGATGCTCTTAAGATTCAAAGCAAACTTATTGCCTTTGAGATGTTTGGTCCTATCTTTGTGCTTATTGTGTAGTGCTGAGAGCCATAACTGGAGGTGTTCTTAGTCTTACAAAGCCGGCGGAAGGAAATATCAATTTTAGTTTTGTATCTAGTGTTGTGGCATTGCATTTCATTCTTTGTGTTGAATTCGCACTGGTTATCATGGGCGTAACTTAGGTAGGCCTACAGATGATTGGTTGTTATTAGCCTACTGTTAGCAGTCCATAAAAAAAGTTGCCTACAATAATCCAGTCATAGTCAGCTTCTTCCTAATTTAAGAAATTAAGTTATTACATTTATATTTATTAAATGTCTCTATTAAGTAAGTTTATCTATTAGCCTACAACGATTCAGTGTCTGTACAACCATAGACAAAAAGAATTAAATATAGACTGTCAGCCGTGCTGCGGTTACCATGGTTACCATAGGTTCCGGCGCACACCGCTGTAGTTTACGTAGCGCGTACGCCGTAAATACATGGCGCTCCAAGCGGTGTGCGCCAGAAGCTATGGTAACCGCAGCACAGCTGACGGTCTATATTTAATTCTTTTTGTCTATGGTACAACTTAATACTAGGCTTGTTGCTCATTCTTGAAATAGGTAAAACAGGCTCTTTCTTCTCTAAAAATATGTTTTGTTACCGTACTTTATAAAGTAGGTATGGTACCTAGTTGAGAATTAAACATTTTACCATTCCTAAGCTCTCTATATAGGGGAAGTATCTATTAGTTAAAGATCTGTTGTAATTTGTCCTTTGAAATACAATATATATTTGTTTTCAGATGATGGCATTCCGTGTACGGGTGTTGCACTCCATAGTACTGACTGTAGTGGGCGTATCGTTTATCGTCTACTCCTCATACTATGCAAACCCTGTACAGTTGTATCACATTGAACAACCTCATGAAGGTAAGTCTCACCATACCCTCTTGTGTCTAGACTAATTATTATACGGTACCGAAATACTGTAACTAGAACCAAAATTATCATACATTTTGTGTTAAAATGAGTTAAGTGTGCACATAGATTTAATTTGTTGAATCAGTGGTACTAGATTCAAGTTAGAAAGGGCTGTGACCCAACTCAAGAAGGTTAACCAACATAACTTGAATCTTTCACTGAACTAAATTGGCAGTGGCTATTCGCACGTCAGACGTGCGCCGCTACCACGCACGTACCATGCGCTATCATTCATATAACAAGTATAAATAAGTATTCATACAATAAGTAACTTAAATACATTTAAGTTTATTTATAGAAGTCTATGTTGTCGAGTTATAAAGTTGTCAGGGATACGAGCCTTCTCAATAAAAAAAAACCAAAAAAAACAATAGATAGGAACCATCATCATTTTGTGAAACTAATGAGCGAGGTGGTACTTTTTTAAATCATAGAAGCATGTTTGATCAATCTTTAGTTTGAAGTTCATTATTTGTGATGGTTAGTTTACCTTATCTAAGACATCACATTATTCATTATTCATTATTGCGGACAATTTCTAGCACTATTATTAAAAAAACAAAAGTTTTTCTGACGGGATCTGGAATCTTTGCCAGATAGTCCTCTCCATTGGGGTTGTTTAAATACATTTAAGTTTATTTATAGAAGTCTATGTTGTTGAGTTATAAAGTATATAACAGTCAGTAACACTGATTTAATGATTTCTCAATTTTGTCTAAAAGTTTGCATGTGGATTTCTTGACTATTCAACTAATATTTCAACATACACCAGATATTTTTTTACATTATCTTGAATCTCTCACTCCCATATAGGCTACATTAGGACCTCAATAGCTCTTACTTTAATATCTTTAATACCTTGATTCGCTATCTTATTTCTTGCAATACTAAAAGTACCTTTTTAGGTAAGTTGAAAGTTATAATTTTTTAACTTTGATAAGTCAAATTTAACTGTTATAGGATCAATAATACTCGGCCTCTTTATTCAAATTTTCTCATTCACGAACGACCCTTGACAACTCAAAAGTTTACCTAAGTTTAAGTTCTCATGATGTGACTCCACCACTTGAAATTTTATTTATTGAGCAAGCCAGCTTTGTTTTGACCGAGACATGAATCCATATTCTTTGTTTGTTTGACTAGTACTGTTAGCCTGCAAGTTATTGAGATTATTTTGTGAGCGTCTGACGCATCGTTAACTAGGGTGAGAGTAAAACATTGACAGACAACAAAAAATAGAAAAGTAATAAAGGTTAACCTGTTATAGAAAAAGCGAAACTCTCCCACAAAATCTACCTATCATCTTATACAGTATAGACTAGTATAAAAATCAGAAGTAGCCAGGAGTTAATTAGGAATAGTAGTAGGTTGAGGGTGAATTGTTAAACAAAAGAGATTTATAAATGCAGAGTTTACAGACGTGGACCCAATTTAAGTTTAACCCAAATTATTAGGCCTACACTATTGCTGTTTAATAAATAATACTCTGTGTATAATTACATAGTTGTTGTTTTGTATTATTACAGTAGGTATTTAAAACCAGTACGGTAACTGGAAAATTCCTTTGTTGTGTTGTATTTTTATGTTCTGAACCTATTTGTTGTTGAGATATTTAAAATATAAAATTTCAAATAGTTGCCATTTTAACTTGGTACAAATTTGATACTTTGTTTAGCTTTTGTGACACCACTTGTCACCACTCAAGCACCTACTAAGTTTGAAGTAAATTCTTAAGTATTTCCAAAATTATGTAGGCTATACATTTGTAAATATTACATACATACGGACTTACAGAAAACCGGACATCTTGGACCTATTTATAGGATTTTTTTGGGTACACAAAATCTTTCAAGGAAGTTGGTATACACCTTGTACAAGCAAGACTGAATTAACAATCATAAGAGATCAGACAAATTTTATATTTAAAAAATGTTTAAATACTACCTTCAAGACATTTTTATAATTATTCTTTTAATATCATTTATTTTATAAACATAATCAAATCAAGCAAACCCACATCATGGTATACACCTTGTACAAGCAAGACTGAATTAACAATCTTGAGGGATCAGAAGAATTTTATATAAAAAAAATATTTAAATAGGCCTACTACCTTCATGACATTTTTAGAATTATTCTTTTAATATTATTTTATAAACATAATCAAATCAAGCAAACCCACATCATCTTTGTTTTAGTGAATTTCCTATATACCGTAGGGAATAAACTAAAACCGTAGGTCTCATGGTAATACATGGACCTGGGACCGATTTACTTTTTCGCTTTGATTCCCCAAAGGCCAAAAGCACCATCCGTTCAAATTCATATATATAATGTATGTATAGCCTATGTGTGTCCATTAGCACAATAACTCTAGCAAAAATGATTCGGTTTCGATGAAATTTTGTAGAAAAAAGTAAATGTAATTTTATTCAAATGAGTTCGCAAACAAACATTGTTCGGACCATGAGATCGGGGTTTTAATAGGGGTATTTATGGGACAAAAATTGGTTTTTCTCACTTTTGACCCTGAAAGCATAAAATTTCCCAATTTCTCTCTAGACCATTTTGAAGATCTTAAAAACAAATAATTTAGTACCGGTATATTGAAGTTCGAGCTGTTATTGTATGGTTATTGGTTACGGAGAAGATAAAAAAAATTGTAAATTTAAAATTACCATGTTATTCTTATGGAGAATAAGTAAACTAAACTGTTGTAGTTTGCTTGTTTATGGATATATCTTCATCAAACATGGAAAATCTATTTATTTTATACTAAGCTATTTATTAATCTGTTTTACTATAAAAAAAAAAACACACACACTTTTTTACCCTCCCTGTAGTAGGAAACCTAGGTACTTGTTAAACCTAATGTTATTGAAATAGATTTAATTGAAAATCAAATTCGGTAAATGGGAATTCGTTTAGTTTGCATGTTTGCCATGGTGGGGTTATTTAGTTTTAAGTTACCTATATATTAATTTCTGATTGCCAAACACAGTATGTCTTAAATCTAGGCCTACTGATTAATAAATGGGTTAACCGACCATATGCCTGTTTTTATATTATGAAATTTGGCAAATTGTGTAATGTCAATGTGATTACAAATATTAAACTTGATAACAATAATTTTATGTCCTCCTTCTTGCGGAAATTTCTGCAATTGTTTAACTACCACAATTAAATAGGCCTACTATTTTCAGTTTGAAGCTTTTGCCCTCATAAAAATATACAGGGTGGCCCAAAAAAAGGTACGCATTATTTCACGGCAATTAATTATTATTTATTAGTTATACAAACTTTATCTTAAAACTAAGATTCCACCATTGTTAATACATATTCCATTCGTCTTTTCATGTTTTGAACCATTCCTGAACATATTGTGGAGTGATGTTCATTAAAACAGAAGAGTACCTTTTTTTGGGCCACCCTGTTAACTTAAACAAAAAAAAATTAAAACTTTATATCTGATGCAAATGTGTTAATATTTTTAGTAAAACTAAAATGTTTTTAAATGTTTTTTCTTTGACAAAATCTATCCAGTCACTACTGGTCATCGATGGATACATGGTATAAATACAGAAAAACTAGATTATATTGTTGTACCGGTATCACTAGATAATAGGAACCTTAAAAATATCTATGTACCTACTACAGATTTTATACCTATTTAGGTTTATATTAAATGAGTTACACCTATTTAATATTTCTAAACTCCCTGTAATATTCAGGTTAGAAAGTAAGTTTTTAATAAAATAATTACTAAACCCATATAATTTGGCCAAGAATTCGAGATTTGATTTTCTAAAAAAGTGTTTCAACAATTTAACATATCAAATCAAATTCATGCTGCGTTTTAATCAATGGCAAAGTGTAAGTTAGGGATTTGAATTTATTTTAAAGTGTTTTGACAGTCTAACACATACAATAACACTATCACGTTTGAGAGTGCTCCAACTAATGTTATACCATAAACAAGATTTTCAAATTTCTTCTATCTGATTTATAACATTACATTGATGCCCATCCTGATCTACAGTGGTCTAACAAATTGTAATTAGAGTCAAACAAGTTTTTATATTAATAAGTTGTTTTAAATTTAGCCTACTATCTGTGGTTATTTCCTAAAAAATATTGAGGAAGGCTAAAAGAAAACTTATAACATTTTTTTCTCTTCAGCAGTCATTGACATTATAGTTAGTTACGGAAAGTGCTAATCTTCTGTTTCTAATCAAACATTATTATGGCTGAGATAAATGTCTTCAAGACATGTTCACTTATCCCGCAGTTGTTATTTTTACACCTAACAATGTCCACTCCTACTACAGTAGTGTGACATAATCTTATAATGTTCATTCATGCTACAGCAGTTATTGCGTGTAAGTGTCAGATCCTCAGACCATGGTTTGTGGAAGGCTCATCTGATTGCATCACTACCTGAGGAGGGATAGTGATGCAATCCTATAGTCTGGTGAGTCTAGTACAACCTTGGCCCAAGGTTAGGAAGATGCTCCGAGGGTCCTTCAAAGAATTAGTCATAACTTTACTCATCATTACCTGTGTGAGGAATTTTCGATGCTTAGAATGATTCTATATGACTTGCTGGTTTTAATAAATAAAATAAAAATTGTTTAGTTTTTCTAGCAGGACTACACAGTGTATCAATGGTAATGGGTTTTGTTTCCTTTTATATTCATTCCCTTTCTAGAGTATTTTTCTAGGTTCTGTTTATGTGGCTAACTATAATACATTTAGAGAAGTTCTATATTTCTGTATAACTTTGGATATATGAAGATGTTTTCAATATTACCAGGTTGATTTATTTAATTTCTTTACCGGCTAAATTTAGTCATTGGTTCTTCAGACTTATTTAAATATTCTTTTACAGCTGATTTAAAGAATATAACGTAGAGAAATGTAAAGTTTAAGAACTCTTTAATTAGATTTGA